GCTTGGATTTATGATGGTTGCAGATCCCACATTCATGCAATCGCCATTTATGGTCTTCACTGCCAGTTTCTGACACAATTAATGGAGAAGTCAGAGGAGATTGCACATAGAGATTCTGGGATGTTACAACTGCTGTAGCCATTAAGATTTATCTAACAACCATAGCTTAGACTGCTGCAACTGCCACTATAAGTAAGGCACAGTCATATGATGTCATATTTTAAGACTGTTGCTTAGCAATAGAGTGCCCAGTCCCAATTACCATTGCTAAGCTAAGACTACTTGTATCACAGTTCAGTATGAAATGATGAGGAGGCAGTTTTGTACATCATTATCAAAGCAGAATTACCGGTCAGAAAGTTGCCAAACTAAAATACTAAATCACATTGAGAGAGAATTCTGGACCATTTGTAAACGCTGCAGACATCAGTAGTTTATTAGTATGTTTAGTCAAAACACATTCAAAAATGGAAACTTAAAAGGTAAATATTTTCTACCTGCAACAATTAAACTAGGTTCTACTAGCATATAATGCTCAACACATTACAGCAATAAAGATGGTAGTCCATTGTTTGCATACTTATTAAAGCCAAAAGATGATTAAAGTACATTTGTTGACATAGGACTGTAACAATAGCAATATTACCTATATCAACAAATCAGCAATAAAATAGATCAAAGAGATCTGTTCGTTTCTTCTAGAGGTACATTTATTGAAAACAGGAACAAGAACACTATGTTTCCATTATAAAGTAGGTGAACAATCACCATGTAAACGTCTGTGTATGCTTCCAATATTATTAGTTCATGGCATTTAAAAAAGCGAACTTGAAAGCTCAATGGCTCGGTAGTTCCTCTAATTGTAATTACATTTTTTTTTTTTTATTATTCCATTAGTGCTGTTTGCCTCAACAGTTTTACAGAAGGTGGTAGGACAATATTATAGCACTAAAAAGCCAAATATAAATACTGAAACACTGGTACGCAACTGCTTCTTGAGAAAAGCAGTTTAAAAAATGGTTTCCAATTCAATATGATTCATGGAGAAGCATTCAAGTACTACATATCCAGGTATCATCTGAAAATGAAACAATTCAACACAACCCCCTCCCCCCACATAAACATGGCAATAGAGAAATGTACCCCAGAAAGTGTATGAAAATAGTGCAAGACTTACCATCAAACATGGAAAATCTCAATTTGGGGAATAAAAAACAATAAACTTACTCCACACCTCAACGTACAGGCAAAATTTTCCATATTTTTGGGAAACAACAAATGGTTAGTTTCACCAAATACTTCTTGAGTTACATGCTTTTGTTACGTCATAGCATGAGGTCTTCCATGTTTAGGGCAGTTCTGAACAGTCACAAGCTTTTGTCTCCCCTCTTCAAGAGTAAGCCTGAATGAGGGTTTGTGGAAACGGTCTAGCTTGAAGCTGGGGAGTACTGTTCGCTACATCTGCAGTTTTATGGAATGTACTATCTATGCAAACAGGAACTGGAAACAGCAAACTTCTCACCCAAACACAAGATGCTCCACCAAGTCCAAATACATAAAAAGAGATCTTCCCTCTATGTACAAATCTGAGCCTTGTAGGCAAAGTCACTTCAAAGTTTGTGCAAAATGGGTGATAGTTCCCTGTTCTATGAAAATTGCAGTATCCTTGAGTGTAACAAGTTGTATGTTAAATATCTTATCTGGAGTACACTTAAAACAACCCCCCCACTTGATTAACTTTGGACTTATCTATGCAAAAGGAATACTCAATTCCATAACCAACTTTCCATTTTTAAAAAGCATCTACCACTTAATACCTCCTTTGTTCAAAGGCTTCAAAAACTTAACTACAGAGCTAGGCAAGTAATATTCCAGTAGCCTTTACTGATTTAAAGATACTGCAATTTTATACAATGATTTTATAAACATTTTTACAGCTGTTAAAGTTTTGCAGCACAGCCATTCATACACTATACTGTACAAAATCACCAGCAAGACTGGAATGATGTATTTAATAGAAGGCACCATTCATGCTTATTACATTACCAGAGACCTCGATACAGTAAAGACATTTTTTTCATTGTACACTGCTTACAGAAAGGGAAAAGGTAAGAGGAGTGTGTTGAGCAATCAACCGTCCCCATCTACAGAGAGGCAGAAAGCTCATAAGACTCTTTAAACAGAAAAAACATTTTTTTCTATTCAGAACTATGATTTTTGAAGTTTTACATTTGTGTTTACAGCTAAATGGTTTCCTTCTGGAACATATTTTTAGTCTTGTTAAGGTTTATGTGTACATATATTGGTCACAGCAAGCAGAGCAGATGCCCGCATCGTTTTACAAGCTATTATTTTTCCTTGCTGTTTTCAGCAGATGTTAATGTAAAATGAAGCAGGTACCCATTAGTGCGTTTAAAGTTCACAAAACATGAGTTGTTTGGAATCAAGAGTTCTAACAGAAAAAAAAAGGGAGGGGGCAAGCTTTCCCAATTCAAAGATTGCACTATTTGCATTTCCAACAGTAACACTTAAACAAAACGTGCAGCACAAGGATTTTAACACACCGGAAAGACCTAACCTCAATTAGGCATACCCTTTTTGTCCTTTGTTGTTGCTGCAGAAAGTTTAAATGATCATTTCTCAGTTCCTAATTCCCAAATCTAATGTATAAATTAATATTATGATTTCATCATGAAATTAGGAAAAGAATGTCCACAATTTACCTGGTGATCAAAAGATGTTTTACACATCAAAGAAATGATTTTAAAAGGTTGTTACATTCCAAAGCCAGAAAATTAACAAAAATGCAAACATGACAAATAACGTATCACTTTCAAGACTGCCTGCCAACAATGAATCTTCAGCGACGTTGACCTGTGAACCGGCCTTCCATCTGCCCTGTTCCTCTTCCAGACCCAAGCTTCTGGGCCATGGCCCCTCTCAGAGGTGGCCCTCTGCCTTCACGGTCTCGCATCATTCCACCACCCACCATGCCACGTGAACCCCCAGGGCCTCTGTCACTGCGTCGAATATCCTTGCGATCATCACCACCACCTCGAATTTCTCTTTCACGAGCAGCTCTGGTCTTTTTTTCTTCTACGTTCAAACGCACCTCACCACGGAACATTATAGGCTTTTAAATGAAGAGGAAGGGAAGAATGGTAATACCAAAAGCTTAGTTAGTTGAATATCCAAAAGACACAGGCCAATAATAGTTTACATGAAAAACATATTCTAGCTCAAAATTTATCAATGCCATATTTAGCTAAACTTCAAATAATGGGTCTAGGACAGGGGTCTGCAACCTTAAACACTCAAAGAGCCACTTGGGCCCGTTTCCCACAGAAAACAAAACACTGGAAGCCACAAAACCTGGGTGGGCGTGGCCAACGATGTTACTTACTCCCACCCAGTCACATGACACACACCCTGCTATGTCTATCCATATTTTGTGGCTCCCCATATTTTCTATGGGAAATAGGTATCTCCCTCTCTCTCTCCCTCCCTCCCACCTCTCTTTCTCCCTCTGTTAATTTCCCCCCTCTCATCTCCCATTTTCTCTATCTCCCTCACCCTCCTTCCCTCTCATCTTTCTCTTTCTCTCATCTGTCTTTCTCTTTTTCTCTCTATCTCTTACTCTCTCTCATCTCTTTTTCTTTTTCTCTTTCTCTATCTCCCCCCCCCCCCCCCCCTTCTTTCCCTTTCTTTCTCTTTCTCTTTCTCTCTCTCTCTCTCTCTCTTTCTTCCTCCCTCCCTTCCTCCCTCCCACTCCGCACCTCCACTTCCCAACCTACACACCCAAGGAATAACTGTAATGAAATTCTGTCCCTGGAAAGATACAAAAATAAACCTTGCATTGCAAAAGGAGTGACTGTCACGTTGTTACATCACAGCACCATGAGACTGCCACTTTAGATCACTGCACACACTTCAGAGAAGTATCATCCCAAGCAGCAGCACAATCAAACAGGCACACATACACATCCTGCAACTCGATCCAAAGTGGCTGGGCACCCCCGGAAATGCTTGGCAGGCAAAGTATGGGACGAAACTCCCCCCCCCCCCCAATCACCAAGGCAGTGTCCACTGAATCCTTGCAAAACTGGGCAAGGTGGAGAGACGAGAGTAGACAGAGCCAAATCAAGCTGTATGTCTCTCTCTGTCTCCCTCTTGCTGTTTGACTGGTAGGAAACGGCGGGTGACTACTTTCGGCTCTGTTGGTGCTGAATGCACGACCTGCTCTCTGCCCCGAGAGTTGCCAGGGGCGAGTGGGGCAGGGTCGCATTATGTTGTAATGGGCTCATGGAGGAGGGGATCCAATCTCCCCCATTGTGAAGCATGCTTTCGCTGTGCTGCACAAGGCACTGCGACAGTAGTGGGCAGGTCATGGAGGGTTTATTAGATCTTCCCCCTGCCCCACGCCAAAGGAAAGCCATTTGGGCTTCTCTTTACCTCCTACCCTTCCCCCTGCTCTCTTCCCCCCACTCAATCCTACTTTGGGACAGAGGAGCGCACCCTGGAAACGCGTGTTAGGGTAACGTCGGAGCATGTCTTCTGATCCTCCACATTCCTCCAGGCCCTGATGCCTCTGCTGCCCACACCCCCATGGCCCCAGCCATCGCTGCCCGGGGGAAGGCACAGGAAAAGAAAACGAGCAGAAACATAGCTCTCACTGGGGCAAGAGAGCCGATAAACTGCCGCGACAGGGCAACAGCTCTTTCATCCCGCTGCCGTGACAAGGTGACAGGGAGCCACAGCAGAGGGTCTAAAGACCCACATGCGGCTCCACAGCCACAGGTTGCTGACCCCTGGTCTAGGAAAACATTCTCTCCATCCTGCAATGAATTATTTCCCAAGAATATATATTTCACTACTTTTTCTTCATCTAGAGACATCTATAATAGAAGACCAATATAGGACTTGTAAACAAATTTCAGAACTGATTCAAACTAAATTCACCCTGGTAATCACCATCCAGTGACTTTTATCAAATTACTTACTTTGGCCAATAGAATTTTCTGAACTGGTTCAGAGTCATCAAACACCACAAAGCCAAAATTTGGAAGTTTTCCTCCAACACCTTTTGTATTAATACGAAGTTCCACAACATTCCCAAAACCTGTAAAAGTATAACGCAGGTGGTTAGGAAAAATGCATTGCATGAATTAAACAGAAATGACATGTTGCTTATAGAAGCAGTTTAATATTTGAATTATAACAGGGCTTAAAAATCTAAAAATATGGAGTTTTCTCTCTACTGGGCTTCATAGCAAAGTAAAAGAGAAATTACTTACTCATAAAGAACTCTTTCAGTTCATTTTCATCAATGTCATGTGGCAGATTGCCAACAAAGAGCTGGTGACTATCTGGATATCGAATTATTCGACGACTATCTGATTCATTTTGATCCATATCCCCTCGGCCTATAGTAATTAAAACATAAAAAATTAATGTAAAAATCATATCTTTTAACAAGTATACCAAATTGTAATTTTATATTGGTATTTCAATCACACAATCCTTGTTTTGGACTCAAATATGTTTTATAAAAACTTTTGACAACCTCAAAAGACAATAATGAAGATAAAATTTTACTGATTTCCTAATAAATTTAAATTTATCCAAAACAACTGTTTCACCAGCAATAAGCACCTACATCAGCATAGATTAACTCCAAAATTAACATCAGACCAAGCATCAAGTAAACAATATCCCAATCAAGAAACTGCCAAAGAAGCCAACAGTAAACAGCTCAATCAAAGAATCTCTTAAGACCATCCCCACCAACACTAATAGGGCATGCCACTGGAATATAAACTGATAGCAAACTCCAATCCTTACTAGTACTGATGATGTTACCTAGTTTGGGTAATGAAAAGTCTGCAAGAAAAGAAGCAAGCTCAGAGCACCAATCGCTAACTGAAGATCTGAAGTAACAAGAGAAGAGTAACCTTCTGCCAAAAGACCTTCATCTACACTTTCAGCCTAATATATGCCTTCTTTATATACCCCACAGGAACCATCCAAACCAAATCTTCTCCTCTTTCTGCCCTACACTCCCATTATTCTTGCCCTATTTTTTTCCTCGACATCTCTTTTTAATTAATTAACTGATCTTAACTATTTGATTAATTAATTTTACAATTTATCATTAGTGATTATGTATTATTAGTGACTAATGGTTATTGTTTAGCTTGATTGCTTTGAATATTAGTATTAGAATGTTTAGTGTAAATTAGTGATTAGTGCAATTAATTGATTAGTGTGTTTAGTGATTAGTGTAATTAATTATTAGGGTGATTATTGATTAGTTAAATTAATTGACTAATGTGATTAGTATAATTGACTGTTTGGTGTGATATTGCTTTATTGATTACCATAATATCTTGTTTGATTGAACAACCCAATCAACAAACCATCTCAACAAACCCACCATGTCAGAAAAACAATCCAATGTCAAACCACAATCTAAAAAGAAAGAAATCCCTACTGAAAAACCACAAGACTCCTGCTTTTACCTTATATGTAAAGAAACTTTAAAGGAAAATGAAGATTACATCAAATATTCTCTTTGTGACAACTACGCTCACCATAATTGCTTAGAATTACCCAAGCAAATGGCTCTATTCCTAAAATCATCCGCCAATGTTTTTCCATATTTCTGTCCACCGTGCAGACCCAATCTAGACAATACATTGCTCTGTTCGAAAGAGTTGATACCATAGAAACACATATAACATCCCTTGACACCATTGTAGCATCCCTGGACACTATACAATTAACAAACCAAAGAAACGAACATCAAACAACTACAAACCATATCTCTACCCAACAACTGCAACCAAAACTCAATCCACAAAAAAACCCACAAATGCTACAAATATTGATCTCCATCTCATCAAAGAAGCTGTTGAGTGTGATCGGAAACGACCAAATACCATCTTATTTGGTCTAGAGGTCAACAACAATGATGACATCCCTAACATCTGCAACATCATCAGAGACTATCAAGTGTCAACCATCTCCCCTGATGAAATACTTGATATTTCCTGCGTCGGTCCAGAGCTCAAAAACAAAGACGGCTCAATGGCCCCACGCCTCTGCTGGGTCGTTTGCAAAAAGGAATCAAACAAATGTAAATTCATTTTCTCAATAAATTCACTCGCAAACAGTAACAACCATAAGAACCTCATTCTCACCCTGATCTAACCTTACAGCAACGTATACTATCCTGTGAACTACACTCTGAGCTCAAAAGACTACATGATTTAGGTAATACTAATCTATACATTGACTACTGCACAGATTGTATCAAAAGCAAGAGCTACAACCTATGTGCCAATAACCATCACCCAAACATCCAACGCTAGGGATGCACACCCCTTACTTCCTCCAGACCAACTACTTCATATCTTAAAGGCAAACTACTCAATGCAAGAAGCCTTGCAAATAAAATGCATGAATTCCTCATCTTCCTAAGCACAGCCACATTCGACATTATATTTGTCTATGAAATGTGGTTGAATGCATCTTTCCCAGACTCCATTACCACTGTAGGAGAATATCATGTTTATCGGTCTGATTGCAAAATCTGTAGAGGAGGTGGAGTTGCTATATTCTATAAAAAGTCTACAAACTACAAACTGCCATATTGACTTTACTGAAGATAATGTAGAAAATGCACTACGTAACCTAAAACCATCCTTATCTATTGGCCCTGATGGCTTACTACCAACCTGCTTCAATCGAGGACCTGTATACTGTACAAGTCAAAAAGAGGGCTATGAAAATATTTATAGACCCCTCACATCCCGGACATAAACTGTTTCAACTCCTTCCCTCAAAATGATGCTACAGAGCACTGCACAGCAGAACAACTAGACACAAGAACAGTTTTTCCTGAAAGCCATCACTCTGCTAAACAAATAATTCCCTCAACACTGTTCAACTATTACAAAGTCTGCACTACTATTACTGTTAATCTTCTCATCACCCATCCCCTCCCACTTGTGACTGTATCACTGTAACTTTGTTGCTTGTATCCTTATGATTTATATTGACTGTTTCCTAGTATGATTTGATTGCTTATTGTACTCTGTGACTATCGTTAAGTGTACCTTATGATTCTTGACGAATGCATCTTTTCTGTTATGTATACTGAGAGTATTTGAATCAAGACAAATTCCTTGTGTGTCCAAACACACTTGACCAATAAAGAATTCTGTTCTGTTCTATTCTATTCTAATGTGCAAACTTCTTTAAAAAGCTCTCCACTGCCCTAACAAAACCACTAAGCATAATATATGAGATATCATTCAGAACCAGCTCCTTAACAAACCTATGGTCTTTAGCAATGGTCATCCCTATCTTAAAAAAAGGTGACCCCTGCCTGGTTGAAAACTACAGACAATCTCATTGTCTTGTGTCACATGCAAAGTTATGGAATCAATTATTAATTAATGCATTACCTTCCACCTAGAGCCAAACAACCTATTCTCCAACAAATAATTTGGTTTCAGAAAAAAATTGTCCTGCAATTTGCAACTTCTACACTGCAAAAACATATGGACTACATTATTTGACCAGGGCAAAGCAATAGATGTAATTTACATAGACTTCTGCAAAGACTTTGACTCAGTGGTATATGACAAACTACTATTAAAATTAAAATCTTACAGCATTTCCGGATTACTGCCTTCCTGTCAAACAGGCAACAAATACTAAAAATAGGAAATGCCCTATCAAGCCCTGAACCAGTTAACAGTGGTGTCCTCCAAGGGAGCGTTCTAGGACCCACACTCTTTACACTCTATATAAATGACCTTTGTGATCACCTTATAAGTAACTGCGTCCTCTTCGCTGATGATGTAAAACTATTCAACACAATGCTACTGTGCTTCAAAGTGATTGTGATTTTGTATCTGAATGGTCAAACAGTTGGCAACTCCAAATCTCAACCAACAAATGCTCTGTCCTATACATTGCTTAAAAAAATCAATACACCAAATACAAGCTAGGCAGATATGACCTCGTTGATGACCCTCACTCTGTCAAAGACCTTGGAGTTCTCATATCGAATGACCTAAGCACCAAAGCTCACTGCAACAACATTGCAAAAAAGCCTTTAAGAGTTGTAAATCTGATCTTACGAAGCTTCTCCTCTGGTAATATCGATTTGCAAACTAGAGTATTCAAAACTTTTGCTAGACCAATACTTGAATACAGCTCTGCTGTCTGGAATTCGCACTGTATATCAGACATAAATACAATGGAACGTATTGAGAAGTATTTTTTGAGAAGTATTTTACAAGAAGAGTACTACACTCCTCTATTCGCAACAGAATACCCTATACCAATGATAGAATTGAATTGGAATGGAATGAGTGGTTTAATTACATATATTTATAATCACTTTTTAAGAATATAGTGTGTATTTTAAGAATGTACCAAGCAGAATTCGATTGGAAGTTATGTATTATATTGAATGTTATAACCTCAAGATATATATTGAAGCTTAAATAAGAGTTGAATGGATGTAATTAAAAGATATAAAGGTGTCATACTCCAATTAGTAACTACAGGAGAAAATTTGTTTAATGAGAAAAGATAACATGAAATTGAAACAGAACAGACAAAAGTATAAATATAATGATTTGAATTGAGATGAGATAATCAAAATAAAATTGAGAAAATTAAAAGAGGGGAAAAACTATATAGAAAATGTAAAGCAGTAATAAGATATGGAATAGAACATAAAAGTGAGCATGAAATTGAGTTTGTGTCTGTAAGTGTAACCCGGGACCATGCTATTTTCAAAAAAAGATGTTTTATTTGTATTATGGTTTTTTTTTTGTGAAAACCCAAATAAAATTTTCAAAAAAAAGAATACCTTATACCACCAGAGATTCTAGGCTTAGACAACCTTGAACTACGCCGGCTAAGATTGGACTTAAGCATAGTACATAAAATCATATGTTACAACTTCTTACCAGTTAATTAATATTTCAGCTGTAACCACAACAACACAAGAGCACAGAACAGATATAAACTAAATGTAAACCATTCTAAACTTGATTGCAGGAAGTACGATTTCAGCAACAGAGTGGAACTCTGTCTGGAACTCACTACCTGATTCTGTTGTCACCTGCTCAAATCCCTACTCCTTTACCCTCAAACTAACCTCTATCAACCTCACCCCATTCCTAAGAGGTGTGTAAGGGGGATGCATAAGTGCACAATTGTGCCTACCGTCCCTGTCCTATTGTCCCCAATTATTAGTTCCTATTTCATGTATTTAAACATGTTTATTCTTATTTCTACTATATTGTAAGCGTTTGAAAAAATAAATAAATTTTAAAAAGCTATAAAAGTCATTACAAAAAGAGACCTAGCTTTAACACTGCAGCCTACTGAACTGTACCTTTTTCTTCGATCCACAAAAATTCTTATGAACCTACAGAATATTTTACCTGTTATTAGAAATTTTTATTGCAGTTTTACTTAGCCTCACAAGTTGTTGCTTATGCACTTTGACTACACAAAGGGCCATAAAACAATATCTCCTAATATTTCAACAATTGAATTGTTCTTTTCTCTTATATTTTTATCTCATTTTTATTATTTTTTATAAATAACAAGGTGATAAACATAATTAATACTCCTTCCTCCACTTAGTTTCCTATTTTTTCCACAGCAACAATATGAAGTGAACTGGACTGATGACAGTGACTGATCCAAAATTGCTCAGCTGGCTTTTAGACCTAAGTCAGGACTAGATTTCTAGTCTGGCAGCTTAACCAGTATACCAAACAGGGTGCTAACTGTTCCAGTAAAGATAGACACACTGTAAGTTACATGAACATATTTATTCCATATACTTATGCAGAACAATTCTATGCAGTTCATATAGCTTTTATGTGATTTTCACTGTCGATTTCATTTGATTTCTAATGCAAGTTTGTTACTCAGAAACAACATTATTTAAGGTTCTGTTTACCTGTTGTATAAGATTATAAATCTGAACTATGTTCACAAAGGAAATTTTTAAAAGAGCAAGGAACTCAAATTTCTACTACAGATAGTCCTTGTTATTGACCAAAACTGGGGTTTGCAACTTGGTCATTAAGTAAAGCAGCTACTAAATGAAACCACCACTATGCTTGTGTTCATATTTCAGCTTTCCTTTGCTTTACAGACTTGCAAAGATTATCTTTTCATTATTGTTGTGTGAACTGTTGCTAAATGAGGCAATCACTAAACAATATTTTGAAAAATCATTACATTGTTAGAGTAGGCTCATTTAAAAGTCATGTTTACATGGGAAAGTTTTATTCCAGGAGTAAAAGTATGTAAGTTTCATTCTGAAATGTTTTATGAATGAAATTTCATGAAACATCAATTTGTCATGAGTAGAAAATATTCTGGAGGAACTACAAACGTGATGTAACACATTTTAAGCTTGAAAGGCTTCCAAATGCATGAAACAAGTAGTTCAATACTCAGAACACTGATTCTATCTTCAGATTCTAAGTGTCATGGATTGAAAGTAAAATTGAAAAGTGCTTTGCATAGCCCTATTTATTTTCTTATCCAACATACTTATTTACTTAATAATATTGTATATTCTATCATGGAATTCAAAATGGCACATTTAGTTCTCACCCAATCTCCATCCATCCATGAACAATCCTACCTCTACCTAATTTTAAAAGGCACTTCTATCTTCTCCTATAGTTTTTTTTACCTGCATATATTAAGTCTATAATCTTTAAGTGAAAATCCGTATCTTGATCTTCATAGAAATCCAGGAAAATTCACAACAAATTGAAGGAATACCTGGTCTGGGTCCCCTTGATGGAAAACCTGGTCGCTCCCTTGGACGCTGTTCACGTACACGAGGTGACTGAGACTGATTTTCGGATTTTGTTTCGATTCTTTGCTGAAAAAAATAGTAAAACTTAACAAAAACTAAAACAACATGAGCATTGTATATTATTTGATAATACAAAAAAACCTTATGCAGTATTTATTCCACATTTACAATAATTATATGGCTTGTTGCTCTAGCAGCAAAGAAAATCACAAACAAAATGTGTGGTAACCCATATTAATGTGTATTTATTCATATTGACTAGAACCAAAATATTAGCCTTCTGAGAGATTTTTAGCTCTTTTCCATTATTGCCCATTAGTTTGCCCTATAGGCAAGTAATTATGAAGTGTTCCTTTCAGAAGGAAGATATTCATCATCCTGCACATGCACAAGATGGGTATAGGAGGTATTCGGAATCATACATTTTTTTCAGTCCAGAGTGAACTGAAACTTTTTAAGCCATATCATGTATCACAAAGGCAAGTAACCAATATAAAAATAGGAAAAAGCAATTATATTACATTAGAACCAAGTTAAAGCCAGTCAGATGGAATGGCAACATCTTCAGATATTATGAAGAAGAAATTTCAAAAGTTGGGGTTATTTTCTTTCTCATCCCCCCGCTAATACATTTGGAATTTTATAATTGCAAATACCTTATCTCTAAAAATTCTGAAATTGAGGAAAAGGAGGGATTTTTTTCTAATGTCATTGTACATTATTTCTTCTCTTTTGGGATATTTACTTTAAACAATTAGGCTCTTGATCAAGCAACTTGTATACTCACTCAGGCACTTGTATTATTTGTTAAAAAGAACACTCTATTATTTCCACCATGTACAATTACCTTGCTCTTCAATACATTAATTTTCAGATAATACATGGGATATCATACAGGTAGTCCTCATTTTACAACTATAATGGAGCCTGCTATGATTACTGCTCATGCAATCACATGAGCAGACACATTTTTACTTTTACTTTTACTTTTATGGCAATCATAAAGCAAACCCATTGCAAAGCAAACCCTTTGTTTGCTATAGGCTGTCTATGTTGAAAACTGGAAGTAAATGGAATGGTAGAATGAGATGCTGCAAATGACCATAAAAGGCTGGTTATTGAGTGCCCAAAATGCAGTTATGTGATCAGGGGGAGATACCAGGTGGTAAATAGCTTTTAGGTGATCCTTTTTAATGGTTGGTTAGTGACAATTCATAAGTTGAGGACTATCTGTACATTATACCAGAGCTTCCCAACCTTTCTGGCTTTATGGACTGGCTGGAGAAAGGGGATGGTTCCATGCAAGTAGCAGGAAAGCACACAGGCAGTTCCATTTGCACAAGCTGTGGGCACTTGTGCTTGTCGTTTGTTCAACTGGAGCGCATAAGCAGGTGTTTGCACACTGCTCATGCAGGTGGAGATGCATGCACTTCCATGGCCCAGTTCCAATCTTCTCAAGGCCCAATAATGGTCCATGACCCAGGGGTTTTGTATACCTCATTATACATAATATTCAATGCAAATCACTGAGATTCTCATACAGTAACATATCTGCATAAAGTGTGTGTGTGTATAAATATACACTGCTCAAAAAAATAAAGGGAACACTTAAACAACACAATGTAACTCCAAGTCAATCACACTTCTGTGAAATCAAACTGTCCACTTAGGTAGCAACACTGATTGACAATCAATTTCACATGCTGTTGTGCAAAGGGAATAGACAACAGGTGGAAAGCATAGGCAGTTAGCAAGACATCCCCAATAAACGAGTGGTTCTGCAGGTGGTGACCACAGACCACTTCTCAGTTCCTATGCTTTCTGGCTGATGGTTTGGTCACTTTTGAATGCTGGCGGTGCTTTCACTCTAGTGGTAGCATGAGACGGAGTCTACAACCCACAAATGGCTCAAGTAGTGCAGCACATCCAGGATGGCACATCAATGCGAGCTGTGGCAAGAAGGTTTGCTGTGTCTGTCAGCGTACTGTCCAGAGCATGGAGGCGCTACCAGGAGACAGGCCAGTACATCAGGAGACGTGGAGGAGGCCGTAGGAGGGCAACAACCCAGCATCAGGACCGCTACCTCCGCCTTTGTGCAAGGAGGGACAAGAGGAGCACTGCCAGAGCCCTGCAAAATGACCTCCAGCGGGCCACAAACGTGCATGTGGCTGCTCAAATGGTCAGAAGCAGACTCCATGAGGGTGGTATGAGGGCCCAACATCCACAGGTGGGGGTTGTGCTTACAGCCCAACACCGTGCAGGACATTTGGCATTTGCCAGAGAACACCAAGATTGGCAAATTCGCCACTGGCGCCCTGTGCTCTTCACAGATGAAAGCAGGTTCACACTGAGCACATGTGACAGACATGACAGGGTCTGGAGATGCTGTGGAGAACGTCTGCTGCCTGCAACATCCTCCAGCATGACCAGTTTGACAGTGGGTCAGTTATGGTGTGGGGTGGCATTTCTTTAGGAGGGCGCACAGTCTTCCATGTGCTCGCCAGAGGTAGCCTAACTGCCATTAGGTACCAAGATGAGATCCTCAGACCCCCTGTGAGACCATATGCTGGTGCGGTTGGCCCTGGGTTCCTCCTAATGCAAGACAATGCTAGACCTCATGTGGCTGGAGTGTGTCAGCAGTTCCTACAAGACGAAGGCATTGATGCTATGGACTGCCCCGCCCGTTCCCCAGACCTGAATCCAATTGAGCACATCTGGGACATCATGTCTCGCTCCATCCACCAGCGCCACGTTGCACCACAGACAGTCCAGGAGTTGGGGGATACTTTAGTCCAGGTGTGGGAGGAGATCCCTCAGGAGACCATCCGCCACCTCATCAGGAGCATGCCCAGGTGTTGTAGGGAGGTCATACAGGCACGTGGAGCCCACACACACTACCGAGCCTCATTTTGACTTGTTTTAAGGACATTACATCAAAGTTGGATCAGCCTGTAGTGTTTTTTTCCACTTTAATTTTGAGTGTAACTCCAAATCCAGACCTCCATGGGTTGCTAAATTTGATTTCCATTGATAATTTTTGTGTGATTTTGTTGTCAGCGCATTCAACTATGTAATGAACAAAGTATTTAATAAGAATATTTCATTCATTCAGATCTAGGATGTCTTATTTTTGTGTCCCTTTATTTTTTTGAGCAGTGTATATAAACATATACACACATCCATGTCTTGGATTAATTATAATTTAGATGTCAGTGAAATATTGTTTACTATTAATCCCAAATCATAAAATGCTAAACCATCAAACAGAATTAACTTATTGCTACAAATATTACCTGTAACATACAGTACAACTAGTAGTAGTCTAAATTTTTAATTCTAGGTTTGTCAATGGCCACTTGTCTCTCTTCCTGAAAATGATCAAACTAAACAAAGCCTTCTAACTCAGAACTAATTACCTCCTGTACTAAAGTCATAAAGGAGAACTTATGTAAACTAGTGATTAGGGATGAATTTTTAAAAAACCCTCATCTCTGTTGGTTGTGCTAAGACAGCATGATTGACGCAAAGTCAGATTAGCTGAGACCTAATACTTAGTGTTTAAATGCTGGTTTTAGGCCAGCACCTTAACTATTACACCATCTTTTTACCAGGAGATTCAAATATTGTTTGTTTAAAAAGTATACTATTAACTTCATCCACACAAAAATTTAGCTTGCAGATGATATGTAGAAAATACCCATTTTGCTTTGTTATTTGCAGAACTACTATAGGATATAAACAGTAACAATGATATAAACCATCACTATTTTTTTCTAATGAGAAAATATTTTTTAAATCTTAAATATGAATATATGAAAATCAGCATTTAGATACAAATCTTTATTAAGTATTTTGCTAAATAATCTGTTGGGAATTACTGTATGTGCAGTTTTCTAACTTTCTTCACATATATTTTGACATATATTTAAAGAAATAATGAATTCTGCATTATGAAAATTGTCTCTGAATATGTTAGCTAGATTTCTATTGTCAGTTCTCTTCCCTCCCTGTTATTTCTAGATATCTCCCATTATTCTCACAAAAGCATTTTTGAAATGTTGACAATGATTGTGCTATTATATCAGTATTGCAGCCTGCAAACAAATAACCATGGTACAGGAAAGTGGCTGTAGATGAAAAATACAGCTTTATTAATGAAACAGTTTTCACAGACAAACAAGAAAATAACCTAAAGCATCCACAGATTGGTTACCTGGGAGACTTGTGCTTTAACATGACTTGGAATTCCAGAAGAAGAAATAGTACCACTAGGAGGCAGGTTTTTACTGGTCACTGAAGCCCAGGAGAAAGCCTACAGGAAATGCAACAAACTTGGTCTACTGATTATGGCAGACTATTGGCATTCCTTAAGAAAAATCTGGTTTAGGAAAACATTCCTGTTCTACCCCACAACTGAGGAAGTAATTAGAACAATTTATTTTCAGTCTATTTACTGTGCAAGATAGTTAACAAGCACCATTGTTAGGTTCATTGCATAAGGTTACAAATGCTCTTACTAATATATATGTTGATGTCAATTATTCAATTATTTTTATATTTTTTTAATAGTACAGACTTAATATTTGCACATTTAAAAATCTGAAAAACATGATGGGAAAAACACTTTCTCAATCCCTTCTCTTCCTGACCTGAAAGCAAATGTGGTTATGGCATCAGGGTGAGTATTAGCACCTGAATTAATGTAAGCAAAATTAATCAGGAGCTTTTTTCACTAACAGGAAACTTTAGAAAAGTACAAGCTACAGCTTTTTCTTAATACCTATGTAACATTTATAGCACAAACAATTTGTGAGATGATGTTGCACTAAACAATCGACCTGAAGATGCTGTACCAGGAAAAAAAATTGTTGTATATCATCTAAAGCAATGTTTTTCAAACTTGGTAACCTTAAGCTACATGTCTAAGAATTCCCCAGCAACAAACACTTAAGATATTAAGCATAAAGTTGCCACACTGAGAAACACTGATCTAGGCTTACAAACTGTGATATCTCAAACTTTGACGAATCTGTTGTGATACCCTGATTTCGAATGCTCTTGCCTGAGGGCAAAGATGAAACCAAAATATCTGATTTTTACTACTAAATGAAAACCTTTCTTTTTATTCTTGCACTTATGACATCAGGTCCATAGCTTATTTTATCTCTTAAGTGCCTATATTCTGTCACATTTATTATCTGGTATTCCAAATTATTTCCTTTTTTTGTTGTGTTTGGATTGGTTTGGCTTTTTATTACCCAACCAAAGATAATCTGGAGAATGAGTAGGACCATAAATAATTTAAACAAATAAATTCAAATAAAAACACTACTAATTATCTTCAACCAAATGTGAAATCCAAATTAGAAGAGATCCTGGGCTAATATTAAAGTTAACCGATTAACAGAAAAACCAATAAGGGTAGCCTACTTCAGTAATAAAAAAAATGTATTCACAATACCCTCCTGATGATTTACCCTTCTTTAAGACAGCAACAATATTACGTTCTTCTGTACCAGAGAAAATGTATAGTATGTAATCTTCAATTACCAAAACTAAGATGCACATATTTAAGAATTTAAGGACTATGTACAAAGTTCTTAATGTTTTCCTGCAGACTGCAAAGCTAAACAGAGTACTATTACTACCATTACAAACTAGATATTACAAACTGTTACTCAATAACAAGGGATTACTATTAGGACAGGATAATTTCAGATTAAATTAGTGAAAAATATGAAGAAATTATGATAAAAACATAACGGTACTCTAGGACGTGTCAATTTTTCAACTTTCAATTCCAAACATTAGGGGTGCTCAAAAGTTGTGACATGCATTGGAGATTGTAAATATATTTTGGTTACTTTAATATAATTTAGATATGCTTGGTAAATAACTACATAAATATAATAACTTTTAAACATTTTGTTTCATTTCACAGGTTCAGCTGTTTTTCTCTTTTTATTTAACAGTATTTTGTATGAGAGTGGCTTTGTTTCCTGTCAGTGTGATAACTGATTTGTAATGGGTTCTGGAAGAACAAGACTGGAAACATTCACTCATATGAGCAACCTATTGGGACTGGTAGGGACTTGTTGCCGACTGAACTCCCAAAACTGTGAGGCATTCTCAGATATGGCTTACTATTAAGAAAACAAAGTAGTGATGATGCTAGAAACTACCCAGCAGGCAGTCTTGCAAGAGACATCCATCCAAAAGTTCTTGGAAAGTGGGAATGAGCAAACAGTTATTTTGTGATCTCTGTTGTAAATTCATGAGTGACAATCTTGACAAGAACCAAGGGAGCTGGGATCAAGCCAAAAACATATTTCTTGGTAAAGGAAAGCTAGATGTCAAAGAGACTTTTCATTGTGAAACTTGACAAACTGTCAACTACAATTGTCAAATTGTTCTGTATGCTGAATTCAGCTGTCCTGCTGGCTGCAAAAAAGCTCACATTAACTGAACCTGCCTTAAGGAGACAAAGATACCACTGAAGAAACTTGCTTTCCTTAAAGATCAGAGAGACAAGATTGGTTCTTTTGGATTGCACAAGACTGGCTTGCCAGATGGGCCGAAGCAGAAACGACTAGTCTGGGTGGAAGATATCTTTATCATTTCATTCCAGAGAAAAGTTCAAAAACAGGAAAACCTGCTCAAGTGATTGCAGATAATCAAGGGTATTTCATGAAGAAGAAAAGCATTGACAAAAGCTTAAAGGCCATTGGAGGAAATTCTATACAAATGTTAATACTGGCTGTGAAGGTGGTGCCATGCACTGGGTAGAGGTCAAGCTTGATCAGAAGTTGATCTGATCAGTGTGTGCACTCCACACGAATGAGTTATTTCTATAGCACTTCATCACAAAATTGGATGGAAAGACTTTGTCTAACATGCTGGCAATTTTAACTGGCAATTTTAACTGGTTAAAATTGGCATTATGCTAGACACTGGAACAGAACTTGACATTGATCTTTCATTCATCAGTTTCAATTGGTGAGCCTCTAATTTCACTGAGTGACAGTATTGTAAAGGATCTCTCTACTGATCAAGCAAATGGATATAGGAACACACAGAGAATAAGGATAGGAGAACTTCCCATAGATCTGGTTCTTTTGGAAATTGGCCCTGCAAACCATTCATACTGGTTGACAACTGCAAATAGGTTGTGTCGAATATGGGTTTCAAAACATAGCTTTAAAGGCAAAATTCTCCATAACTTAATAATAATAGTGGAATACATCGTTGGTGTGTTCAATATCAAAGTAAAACATTCCTGGATTGAAAGCCCTTGTTGTTCCAGCCACAGCAAGTCAGATTGCAAAAGAAGACTGCAGTATGTGCTGTTTTGCCAACCATTCAGCACTGAGCATGGTACGCTTTCAATTAAATGATAATTCAGACACTCTTGTGTTCAGATGACATTCAAGAGAGAAGAGCTGGTATGCAAAAGATCATTGACTTGAGGAGTGCAGACGATGACACACCAGGAAATTTTTCTATACATGAAAGAAAAACACCTTTAATTAATGCCAGAGCATCCACTCTGATGGAGCTGACTGGATGGTGTGAAGGTGTATATGGGCCACCTTTGATATATAAACTGATTACAATGGAAATAAAGAAGTTCACTGATGAAACAATGCAAGTACCACAGTGGCCCAATCAATAGAGAGATGTGCGAAACAGGTCCCAGAAGTATCAAGCAGAGTGTACACACATGAGAAATGTGACAGTTATACCAGAAACCAAGAAGCAAGTTGGCGGCTGATGTCGAAAAACAAATCAAAACAAGACTTGATGAAACTCACTTAAACATGTTTGTAACTCAATAAATTGCTTTCTGATGTTGACTGCATGAATTAATTTTTGATTAGCTAAATAAGATTCATGCAGAAAAAACTTAATTTTTGTAGAAGGTGTAATTTTTAGAAGATAAAGTTAATAGTATTTGGGTTACAAAAGACTTTTGTAGGGTACATGATCAGTCATGGATTTACCATACCAAGCTAAACATTGTGCAATTGCAAACATAATAGCAGATTTGAATTCTTGGTGTAAAAACACATATTTTTTGAAAAAAAATTGCAAAAATTAATTTTCACCCTATTAAATGACACATCTTAACATAATACTATGTTCTAACAATGTTTAAATATTACAATACTAAATCATACACTTATGAACCTCTATCAATTATATGTATTTAACTTTTGGATTTGGACAGTATGTAATTATAATCTCTGTACATGCTGGACAACTGGAATATAGCTGACAAACGTTGAATTATCAATGCAAGCTACATTCTCTTTAGATCTAGTATATGATTATAAATATTTAGAACAACCTCATAATCAAGTTTGCTACCAAGTTCCATTTAATTACACAAACGATATTGACTTAACCAACCTTTGGTGGTTCCTGTGGTAGAGAAACAGTTTCTACAGGAAGTGGGGATGGAGATTTTTCTTCTAGTTCTTCAAGGTTTTTTTCTTCCCCTTCAGTTTTCAGTTCTTCCGTTTTTAATTCAGATTCCAGATCTGGCTCAACTTCATGGGAAGACTCTGCCAATGTTTCTTCTAGTCCATTACTGGAATAATCAGATATTTCAATGTTTCTATTAATGTAAATTATTAGTATTACCCAATTTTCAAGAAAAAAAATAACTACTAGAATTTATTATACAATTGTTACATATGCATCTTATGCATCATTTAACATTAAGTTTTACTTGAAGTCCTTTTGATGATGCCCAATTTAAAAGTTTGCAGAGTCATTAGTATTTTGAGACAGATGGACACTTCTACATTTTTGTATGAGAAAGCTATCATAGTGAATCTGGCCATTCAGAAACATATACCACTCTTTCTAGCCACTCAGAACACCCAAGGTGTTCTGCCTTTTTCTGGGCAGATCCATTTACTCAGGGGTGGGATTCAATTTTTTTAACAACCGCTTCTGTGGGCGTGACTTATTTGGTGGTTGTGGCTTGGTGTTGATGTGACTGGTTGGCCATGGCCAACTCAACATCACTCACATCGAGGCATGCATCTCCTCATCTGGCCTCTCGTGACTGTGGGGATGCTGCTATAGTTATAAGTATGAAAAGTGGTTATAAGTCACTTTTTTCAGTGCCATTGTAACTTTGAATGGTCACTCCACACAAGCAAAGTACCAGCAAAGGAGGGGGAAAAAACTCCAGAGACATTCCTGAGATAGGAAGTCTAGTCCTTCCAAGAATGTAATAAGGGTTAACGGAGAGGCAGTTTCTGTAAGCAACACCAGAATGTTTCCTTCCTGCCTTCCTTACAGGATTAGACCAGTAATTTTTTCTAACAACTGGTTCTCCGAACTGCTTAGAATGTTAACAACAGGTTCTAGTGAATAGGTGCGAACCTGTTGAATCCCACCCCTGCATTCATAAAAATATGAATAAGGTTAAATTTCACTTTGATTAGAATTTCTCATCTCTTGTTTTATTATGGGCTAATTATGGGACATTAACATACAGATTCATGATTTTCAAACACATTTGTACAGACTGCAACATAAGCATGGATAATTATCTTACGCTACAGGATGACTATCATAGTAAGTGCTGCTTGTATTTTCTTGTACAGGTTCAGGTGTTGTTTGCCTTTCTTCATTTTCTTCTTCTACTTCATCTTCTGATTCTGAAATGTAATTCATCAATTCACAATTCATAAAAATGTTATGTCTGCCACAATCATTTCTTATATTTTCATTTTTACTTGAAATGAAAGAGAACATATTTATTCCAGGAATTCATATGCAATACAATACATTTTTGTTTCCATAATGCCAAGAGCCATAAAAATTTGTAGATATAGTCTAATAAATTATCTTGGCTTTGTGTAAGTATTGCAAATTCTGTCATATTTTTGCTTAAGTCCCTTCTTTGAGATAGCTTTTTATTTATTTTTTTCAGTTATTTGCAAATACATTAATCATTGAGGACTCCTATCTTCATTAAGTAATTCTCATTAGGTCTTTAGTCTATTTCTTCATAATACAGGTAGACCTTGACTTACTACCACAATTGAGCTCAAAATTTCTGTTGCTGAAACATTTGTGAAGTGAAATTTGCCCCATTTTATAACTTTTCTTGCCACAAGTGTTAAATGAATCAGTGCATGTGTTAAGTTAGTAACATGGGTGTTAAGGGAATCTGTCTTCCTCAATGATTTTTCTGTAAGAAGATTACAAAGATGATCAACATGACTTTGAGACACTGCGACCATTATAAATGTCAGTAGCCAAGCATTTGAATTTTGATCACATAAACATGGAATAGTAATGTTAACCTTTTTCATTACCATTGTAACTTCAAATGGTCACTAAACAACTAAATTGTTGTTAAGTTGAAGACCAGCTTTATATAAAAATATTCATATTTAAAAATAATTATAGAAAGCACAAGAGAGGATGCTGTTAACTACAATAAGGGAGCTATTGTTAAGATTCCTTTTGTTTCTTAGTATTTGAATGGATAACCAGCTTTTGAAGGACCTGAGAAATATTAAGAAGGATGGAATTAACCTCACCCCCCAAGAGAGAAGATTCCATAAGCGTAGTCTGGATGAAACGGACCTACAGTATATATATTTTTATTAGATTTTATGGTTTTAAAAAACTAACTTTTTCTTATATTATGTTCCTTCTGATCTTTATCTCCTTTGGTTTATTTATCCCATAAGTATCTATCAATTGACTAAGCCTGCTTCTTCTAGAGTGGATATTCTGCTGTTAGGAAACTATCTCCAGTCTGTTATCTATGACAGCAGGTTATTTCTATAATAATAATCTGAGATTGAAAAAAGCTAATCTATTTTTGAGCCTTGCAAATTTTAATCTTACTCTTTTTTTCCCACTGACCCATATAAATATATAAACATATTAATTGTTGCTTGCCAGTCACAAATATTTTTTCTGAAATTTCATTTGACGCCATTTGAAGTAGGAAATTTATTTTTGTTAAAACATCAGTTTTTATTATCACAATAAATTCTACCAGGAAAGATGTTTTTTCAGCCTTTTAAAGTCTTATTTATTTCTCTAATTTGTTGGATAATTCTGAAATATCTCTTTATTGCATCCTGTCAGATAAACACTGTATGTTTTCATTGGATCTTTTGTTACCTCACCAAAACCCTCCCTTTTTATAAACCTGTAGTCCCTATTTGGGGTGGAGTCGGGGTGACTGGATGGAGCCAAGCATTTACTGGCCAGATTTCCTTCCTGACGCCTACAAATTCACAGCAGATATTTTTTCTTTACACTACAGGAAAGAAATATCTGCTTATATCTAGGATTGAGCTCTCAACTTTCCCAGTGGAAACAAGCATCTTCATCACTAGGCCACTACACCACTCTTTTGTTATCTCACAACCTGTCTCTTTTTTCACAAAAATGTATTCTTTAGAAATTAAATGCCTTGTTACTATAACTTTGGAATATGTATATACCCAGTATCTTGGGTTAGATGGACAGTATTAAGATCTAAATCTATTAAAATTCTAGTATGTCTAGAAATAATTATATCTGTTAGGAAGCCATGAATGTAATGTCTTAAAAATTATTCTTTTTCACATGCTAAATTGAGTTTATGGACAACATTAAAACATTGGAAAAAAAGATGTGGATACGGAAAATGGGATAAAAGCAAGAATACTGACTTTAGATCAACTGATAGAGGAGGATGAATTTTTAACATATGCTGTGCTAAGAGATAAATATCATGTATCAGATGTAACAGTGGCAATATTTACACCTTCAACTTTTGTTAACAATATTGTTATATTGAATTATAATTACTACTACTACAACATATTATACATTTTTTCTGTTGTATTTTTTCACTTATTTTTAAATATTTATGCATTTTTGTAATGTATGCATTTTTCTGTTTATTTTGTTTTATTATTGTTTTATAATTTTCAAATATATAAACAATTAATATTACAAATACCTACCTTCATCAAGTTCAGGTTCAGAATCACCAAATACTTCATCTTCATAGCGAAAGATATCATTGTGGACATAAAATTTATTAGGGACAGATCCCTGAAAAACAAAGATAGAAGCAAGCTTAATTTGGGGATGGTTGCTCTACGATATTACTAATTACACCCATATTTTTTTTCTGTTTGTCCTTGCAAAGGCAAAGTTGATATCTGTGGAGTGCACAGTTGCTAAGAAAGCTTCATTGATATGTGAATGAAGTCACCGGGTATTGAGCTCAATTTGAGGGAGACTTAGGAACAGAGCATCTAATGAAAGTAGTATTGATTCAAAAATGGTTGTGCATTGTTAGTCTTTAGGATCCCACTGGATCTTTGTTTTAACTATAAACACAGCTAGCTACTGCTTTAGAAACTAGAATACATCACTTTGATGTGCCTTTTTTTCTTCATGGACATAACGATGCTTGATTGTCATAATTTCAAGTTTCTGGGAAGAATCATTAAACTTAAGGCTCTTCAGAGTTGAGATTTTGCCTATCCATAGGAAGACAATTTACCTATTTCCAAACAGTGAATAGTATTGTAATAATTCAGGATTTGTGAGACTTCTGGTATATATTGAAATGAACAAGAAATACCCATTCTCAGACAGTCTTCAAAATTTCACATTTGAAGAACCAATGTTATTGGAATTGGAATCCTTAGAATTGCTAGTTTATACTGATGTCATCAAACCTAGCCCCTATCCCACTACGACATACAGTCTGATAATTTGCCCTTTATTTGCTACCTTGATTAAATAAAGTCCACACTTCGTTAAAACTTCCAGTCTTGGTTATACTGCAGGATATCAGCAGAGAAGTGAAATTTTCAGCTTATAGGCATTTTTACATTAGTTCAAGAGTTTGATTTTTAGAAAAATAATTAAAAAACAAATTAAGCCTAACAAAAACATGTCTGCTTTAAATTTTATTTTCTTTTTTAAACAAATTTTATTCAGTTTTTCACATTAAAAACAAAAATCTCTTTTTAGTGGACAACATATTTCTGGGTCATCACCTTTACATACAAATATGACAGCAATTATACATTCATATATGCATACTTAATTCTATTATTACCTTTTCCATTCCAAATTTTCAGTAAGGAGAGAAACAAACACATTAATTCTAGCTCTTTCATTAATTTCAATCGAAACATCTTTTTGTTTCATTTCAATTATTTCAAATATAATCATTTAATATTTATTTTAAAAATAAAGATAAACAATATGTGCTTGTCTAATAATAATAATAATAATAATAATAATAAAGGTTACCAATGTCTCTCCTTGCTTTTAATAGTTATATTAACTTATTAATTTAGTTGGTTCTTTAGTCTGTCATATTCCCTTTCCATTACACATTCTTTTTATAAATTCTAGATTAATACAAATTTTAACACTAAAGAAAAAAAACCAAGTATAGGTTTCCTCCCTTTTACTGCTTTGAGTGTGACACCTCAATGATTAAAATATGCCTTTATTCCCTCATCTTGATTCCCAATAAACAATTATTTTTAAGAAGTTACAATAATAATTATTACATCTTTTCATTTGGATTCCGCAGCATATTTCCCCCCTTAATTTTTAATACGAATTATCAGTATCTATATTACCCTATTTTCTAAATATTTTTAATTGCAGAAATATTCTTATTACCCCTTGTCACCCTGAAGAATCCCCTTTTTAATTCATCAACCATTATCTCTGAAAAAACCATTTCTTTTCAACATTTTATTATTTCCGTATTTCTTTATATTTCTTGCACCTGTTTCTTACTGCTTCTCCTCCCCCCCTTTCCCCCATATCTTTTCTCATTCCAGTTTATATCCCTCTCTTTCTTAATATCTTCCTTTCCCCTTTTCTGCTGGGTCTTTCTGCCTTTCCCAACTTCACAGGTATATTCCATCTTTTGATTGCCTTCTTAAATCTCAACTTTTTAACCTTCCTTCTTTCCCCACTTCTTTGTAGTGTTCTTTGTGTTAATTGTCTATTTAAAATGTCTTCTCCTTGAGTCGACTCCTCTTCCTCTGAAGCTTTCTTCTTATTCTTCAATCACCATTTCCATTTTTTCTAACACAGAGCAAAGTGATTCGCCTCTTTCCTGCAGTAATTCTCTCATATTTTTAAGTTCCATTTTTAATTCCCAAAGAGATATCATCATTACACACTCTTATATTTTATGATCATTAAAGTCCACAAAAAGAACACTTTTACTTTCCTTCTTTCTTCTTTCAATTTTCTAAAGTTCTCAGTTATTCCAGCCCAGGGTCTATACCAAAAACATCAATCAATCCCACAGTCAGTCTTTCCTTGCTTTTTTCTTTATTCTGATTCTGCTTTCACTTTCTAAGATTCTTACTTTGTTTCAATATTTCTTTAATGTTATATCCACACAAGTTCATTCAGAAACAGGATGCTTTCCCTTTTGTTTGAGCTCAAGTTTTTGTCAAAAGGTGGCACTCTCCATTATACAAAGTCTTCACCTTTTCCCCCTATCTTTTTATTTAGGGTTTTTCGAACCTCGATATTCCAGCACAGGCCAGTCTCCAATTTGTAAACTTTATTGTTATTATTTTTTGACAATCTTATGTCCAGCTTTATTTTATGCCTGTTTATTGCCAAAATATTTTAGTCCAATTTAGTTAAATCTTTAGTTCTGGCTTCTTCCTTTCCCGGTTCGAAGCCCCGCTTAGCTGTCAAAAATATTTTCTTATTTTTTTCCTGTCCCTTTGTAATTTCACCGCTCACTTTTCTTTTCTTAAAAATTCCATGTTCCTTAATCCCGAGGTACTTTTGTTTAGTTGTATTGCCCAGTTGTCCCAGTTCAGATGTTATCCACCTCTTTCTTCCCTCCTGCACAAACAGCTGAGTCCTCTTCGGCGTGGCCGTTTTAAACCACCGCTGCAGTCTTGTTCGGGGGGGAAAAAGACCAAGATGGGGGGGGGAGATGCAGCTCCCCTCATCCTGGCTTGTGGCTTCCCCTTACTCCGCCGCCCCTCCAAGGCAGCTTCATCCCCAATCGTAATGATCGGGGCTCTCCAATGAAAGAGCACGGACCATAGCCGCAGAGAGTTGCGATCTACGGTCCGTCAGCGAGGAGGCTCCGCCTTCTTCCTCGTGTCTGCTTTAAATTTTCATTTGCTCTTCACTTGAAAATCCAAATTTTTGCACACAAGTTGGAGAAGCTCTGGGAAAGCCAAAAAACCATATGGCTTATTAGCTATGGCTTACTATTTCTGCCTTTAAGTCTGATGAAGTAATAGAAACCAGACAAGAGCTCCATGTATCCATGTAAGTATAAATACATGTCTGTGTGCTTTCTAGTTTTGCACTTAGATATATCTCCCCTCCAACTTTGGGGGAACATAAATTCTCTGAATGAAGGTGAAACTGCTCACGCTGGCCTACATTTTGGGAATAGTTGAAGGAGATTCTGCCGAAATGTTGCTACAACTTTAAAAGCACAACTGTAATGGCGTGGGAATGTATGTATGTATGTATGTATGTATGTATGTATGTTTTCGTAGATTTTCATGGGTACTGCTACCTAAATGCACAATCCCATCACCACCTTGCACAGATCAACTCTGTAGCCAAGACCCTCATCTCCAGAGCCAAACACCTAGCTGACAAAGACCACCTGAGAACAGAACTACACATCCTCACTAACGTATTAATTTCCAACGGATTCCAAAGAAACATTATCACCAATCTAATCCGAAAAGAGATACCCCCAAAAAAACCAAGACATAGAACAATACAACGGTATCGCACTCCTCCCCTACATCAAAGGCACCACAGGCAAAATCAGCAAAATTATCCACAAACACAATATCAGGACAGCCTTTGGCACTGACCAAAAAATAGCCAACATCCTAAGAAACCCCAAAGACAAGATCCAGCTAGAACACCAAGGAGTTTATGAAATACCATGCAACAATTGCCCAGCCACATACATTGGACAAACCAACAGGAGAATAAATGCACGCATCGCAGAACACAAAAATGCAGTCAGAAGAGAAGAAAATACTTCCTCCCTCTTCCAGCACCTTAAAGCCACAGGACATGAAATTAATTTCGAAGGAACCAAATTAATATCCAACACTGAACACTCCAGCAAGAGAATAATCAGGGAAGCCATCGAGATAGAGAAACACCCCCATAACATGAATAGACGGGATGATACCTCCCGCCTACCAGACATCTGGAAGCTAGCCCTCACCAACAAACGAGTCCCAGCCACGAAAACCAACATCAGACCCAAAACAACACGGGACACCACCACCAATCCCCCTCATCAGACCCAGGCCCAAGCCCATCCTATAAACAAAGGACAACCACCATCCAGAAAACAGACCGTGGCTGCTTCGCCAGCTGTCGCACCCCCCGACCCCAAAACCAAACAAGCTGACACACGCCAAGAACACAGACCCAGACCCCAAACCCGAAGCCAGACTAAAACCCAGAATGCTACATCACAGCCACCCGCTCAGGATATCACATCAGAAAACTCAGGAAATTACACCACAAGAACTCAAGAAGTTGCAACACAGCAAATGACCCAGGATATCACAGCACAAGACCAAGGATACCACAGCAATAAGTCTCACAAGGTCATCATACAACCCATTACCCAAGCCATTACTACACAGGAGGCTAATGGAAAAGAGATCAAAACACAAACGACCCAGGAGATTACAACGCAGGACCCAGGATACCACAACAAAAGAACTTGCAAGCCCATCACACAACCCATTACCCAAGCCGTTAAAACACGAGAAGTTAATGGAAAAAAGATCACTACAAAACAAACGACCCAGGAGATTACAGCACAAGATCCAGGATATCTCCACAACAAAACTCACAAGGCCATCACACAGCCCATGATACCAACATCAACTCCATCAACCAATCAAGAGGCAGCAGCGCAGCCAACAAGCCCAGCACACCAGCCCCCACCACCAATATTTATAGAGAGACGGCAGCTCCGATCACACACTGCTTGCACTGGCACGAAGCCGAAAGCACCAGCCTGAGGATGGCGAGTGGGACCTCAC